CCCTAGTCAAATTCCAGGGATGGAAACAAGTTCTCCTTCCAAATTCCTTTTTTTTCCAAAACTCAGTCTAAAAAAGAAAATTCTTCCCTCAAACTACCCGAGTGGAATAAGCTCTCTTGGTACATGTACTGTGTCTAACCCGACTACAAACTCTTTCAAATCGAGCTTCTACCATCACTTTTCAAAAAAATATACTTAATTCTTTCCTATTTCCATCTAAACCCTCCTCTGACATTAATCTTCAAACTGTAGAAGTTGTTCGGTACCCTGTAGAACTAGAAGCACTAACAAAAAGTACATCACACCTACATAACCAAAAGTACACTGCGCGCCTATATGAGTCTCACATGGCCAATTATATTTCATTCCAGTGAGTTTCCAACATCTGTGCTATACTCTTTCTTTGCGACGTTGTCTCTTAATGCTCCTGTCCCCATATGACCTTAGCCTTTACGAGGACATTTATCCCCAAACAAATTAATGTTCAATTAGATTCATCAGTTTGAAAATATGTAATATCAAAGTTTTACTTCATACACAAACAATTTACGGATTGAAGGTGTCACAATATTTCAAAACCAACTGGTCCCTTGTCAAACTTTGATAGTATCTCTGTGTGAGTCTTATACTTACATTGCTATTCATGTACATAAATATGACTCTCAAACATCCATAGCTACCCCGGTGTTTGTAATGTACTGTTTATGTATATAACAGATATTACCGAGGAACCCATGGTGTCATAGTGGTTTATGATGTCTCCAGTGGAGATTCCTTTGCTAATGTGAAACGTTGGCTGCATGAAATCGACCAGAATTGTGATGTAGTAAACAGAATTTTAGGTAAGTTTTGTTTATATCGTCATTTCACTAAATATAAGGTATCTTTTAATCAATATACAGCAGATACCATATACAGTATTATAATACCATGTATTTCTATATTTAGTGATAGTCATTTTGAAAATAAAGAAATTGCTGAAAAAAGTCTTTTACGTAATAATAAGCATCTCATTTCATTAAGTCCCCTATCCATTTAATGTTGGAGCATCCTATACCTTTAGTATAGTTTACCGACTTAAAAATTGTCCATTTTGGCAGATTTTGCATAAACTCTAATTTTCCCTAATTGATAAGGGCCCAAGGAGCTCAATAGGTCCATCATGCTATGTCATTTGGATTGTTATGAAAGAGATACAGTGTTTGCCAAAACATACCAAACATTTAATGGTACCAGTCCGTAATTCTGTTGATGGTTGCGTAAAGGCCACTACAGAAAAATAAAATTACCTGAGCTTTAGCTCAAGTGACCTATTGCTATATCCGTCTTCTTCCGTCGTCGTCCATTGTCCGTTAACATTTTACATTTTCAACTTAAGCTGAAATACTGTTAAAGGGATTTCATTGATACTTCATGGGAATGTTACTGACAACTCCCTGACCAAGTGTTGTAATTTTTTGTGTCGATCAGAAATCCAATATGGCCGCCAAGGCCGCCATTTTGAAAAACTATTTCAAACTTAAAGTCAAAATCTGCTGGACCGATTTAACTGAAACTTGGTAGGAATGATCAACTTATGTTCCTGACAAAGTGTTGTCGGGTCAATCAGAAATCCAATATGGCCGCCACGGCCGCCATTTTAAAAAAACTATTTCAAACTTAAAATCAAGTTCTACTGGCCCATTTAACTGAAACTTGGTAGGAATGATCGACTCATGGTCCTGGCAAAATTGGTTTTTTCAGGTCCATCAAATATCCAATACTGCTGCCATGGCTGCCATTTTGGAAAAAACTATTTAAAACTTTAAATCAAGTTCTAATAGGCCGAATTAACTGAAACATGGTCTAGGAATGATCAACTCATTGTCCTGACAAACTTAACTTAAAGTTATACTTAACTTTTTTTACTCAAATTTTGGTAGGAATGATTGACATGATGACATCATTATCTCCACTTCATAATTCAACAAAAAATAATTTATACTGTAGGACTCAGGTGACCGTTAAAGCCCATGGGCCTCTTGTTTTATAATATTTGTGATGTTGTCATTGTGCTTACAGTGGGAAACAAGGATGATGACCCAGACAGGAAGGTTGTACTGACCCAAGACGCCCAGAGATTTGCGGAACAAATGGGGATACAGCTGTTTGAAACTAGTGCCAAGGAAAACATCAATGTAGAGGAGGTAGGGTGGCGTCTACTTTATATTGGATTGATCGTGATCAAGCATGTGTTATATACGTTCGGGATCCCCCTCTGAAGAGAAAAGGGATATTATTTTAGGCCCATCCCTCCACATTTGTCACACTTGTACACATGTCTCAGACTGAATTTGATCGTAATTTTGTTCCGTGCATATTCATGAATAATGAATGAGATTTATATATTCTGATTGGCTAATTATTTTCCTTGCAATAACTCCCATACTAATGCCTAATTCCTTATGCACATACATGTTGAAATGTCTTGGTCAGAGTTCCATTGTGAATGTGATCTGTACATATTTACACAAAATAAATGAGGTTACAGTAGACTACATCTAATACATGTCCTGAAAGCGAGGGATATTAATTCCAAAAATTTGCTTGTTTTCTCTTCTAACACTACACCTTTATTTTCTAAACCAGCCTCCTTTGGTTGCCAATAATATTACATGTGACACTGACATGGCCCTAAATGGCTGTATAAAGGTTTTAAACAAAAGATGATCTGATCAAAGGGCGGTAATAATTGGGCAGCGGTTACTTTGATCAAAAGGAAGTAAACATTGCACAGTACCTTCTCTCATGATCATCTAAGGGAGGGAATTATATTGCCGTGGCTACTCTGTCAAAGGGAAGTAAGAATTGTAAAGTAACTTCTCTGATCTACAAAGGAGGGGAACAGTATACCGAAGCTTCTATTGTCAAAGGGAGGTAACTGTACAATATCATTAAAATGATGTAACAGATCTGTCGTCACCTGACTAGACACCTGATGTAAAACAATCCAACAACTTTAGTAGAGAGTGAATGTTGCTGTATTTACAATGCTTCACTATATACAAATAAAACATGCCAAGATAAGATTTAGATTAGAAATAGGGGAATTTAAATGTTGAACATAGAACAACAGGAAAGTACAAGTAGGAATGAGACCAGAGCAGTTGAAGGATTCATGTTTGAAATCTATCATAACTGTCTTTGATTTGTCTTTACAGATGTTTATTGGAATAACAAAGCTAGTTTTAGTAACCAAGAAAGAACAAATGAAGAAAGCTGCAGATCAACCACAGGAAGATAGAGGGGGCATCCATTTGACACGAGGAGGAGGAGGCTCAAAGAAAAAGAAATGCTGCTAAACTTAACTGTCTGAGTGTGATGTATATTGAAAAGGAAGAAAACCATTGTTATCTGTTGTCCAGGATATAGAATGATACTTATATAGAAAGACTGAATGTCAAATGTCTAAAGAGGAATATGACTAGTTCATCTCATAGATGTCAGATACAATAATATTATAGTGAAAGCAAATATTGTATTTAAGAGAAATAACTGAAATTCATCCAGTGTAGATCATTATTACATCAACATTGTTCTCTTTAGCATATTTATAAATGGTTACAAAAACTACGTGTGTGTCACAATGATGAATTAGCAAAAGTGCTTTATATTATGAAAAATATCTGTTACGTTTGGATTGCTGTGATGACAACATTAGACTTATCACATGGGTCCTGGACAAGTCAAGGTGTGTATGAGAGGTAAGAGAGAGTGGGCACGAGAGATTGTGTTGTATACTGTATTTATAATGTTAATAAAAAACTTTATGAGAATGTAAAAAATTACAATTAAACTTGTGTAAATATATATATATCATTGTATAGTTAAATATCTCGGTGTACAATAATGTGAAGCTAGTTGTGTTGTATTATAATACGAGACATTCGTGATATAAATAGAGAACTGAGTGGAGAGCGACGACTCGCTTATTGTGAAATTTTATCTGTAAGATGTATAGCACGCTTCAGTGTACAGCTAGACATATTTGTCAATGATAACAAGTTTGAACGCCTGAAATATGTATGTATAAATTCATACAGACAGACAGTTATTTGATACAGTGAACAAAATATTTGTATCATACATAAATTGGAGGAAAAAAAAATTGGTCGAAGAATTGCTTTTAATTTTATTGCCAAATGAATTCTTTAAGTATTGATATCAATGATGATTTATTACGAAAAAAAAAGAATTGAAACATCACTAAAACCTTCTACTATCAATTTTTTAATAGAAGCAAGATCACATCAAGAGAGTTTTGTAAAAGACAAAAGATGTTCTGTATAAATTGTGTAGAAAATATGTTTATTAACCTAGTAATGAGTTTGACTAGAACATATCTGGCATTGTAATGAACCTATATACATGTATTGTGATTTGTTAGCTCACCTGGTCCAAAGGACCAAGGTGAGCTTATGCCATACCGTGGCGTCCGTCCGTCCGTCCGTCCGTCCGTCCGTCCGTCGTCCGTCGTCCGTCCGTCAACAATTTCTTTAAACGACTTCTTCTTCTTAACCACTGATTGGAATTTTACTAAATTTGACTGGAAGCATCCTTAGGTGGTGGGGAATCAAAATTGTACAAATGGTGGGGCTGACCCCCCAGGGGGCTGAGGGGCGGGGCCAAAAAGGGGGCAATTTGGCTAGATTGCTATAAACGACTTCTTCTGTAGAACTATGCACTGGATATCAATCATATTTAATCAAAAGCATTCATGGGATGCAGGGATTCAAAATTGTACAAATGGTGTGGCTGACCCCCC